CTCTTCTTCTTCTCTCTCTCTCTCTCTCTCTCTCTCTCTCTTATGGAATTGATCACAAGGTGAATCGAGAGCAGTTTGCAATATTTCTGGTCCTATGAATCCTCCTAACATGGTTTTTCAGTGGTTCGTCAACACTTTAGAAAGGGACAGCCCTGTCCTTTGGAAGTATTTATTTGTTCTTTTATATTCCAATCATAAAATCACAGACTTTTACCTCTTTGGAAATCTTAGTTGGATTGGCATATCCTGCACTCGAGGCCATATCTCTGTTTTGGCTTCATATCCTGGATACATCAGTCCAAAAAAGTTGTAGTTATTTGCATATCAAACGATTTGCAAAATCCAAGTTTGGTAAATAGAGTTAGAGGAGTTAGAGGGAGAAAGGGTGTGATTAGAGACGAGTTACAGAGAGGGCATTGTGAGAGAGGGGGACAGGAGTTAGAGAGACAAAGAACACTATTAGAACTAGAGGAGCGAGAGAGATGGCCTGGTTAGAAAGAATGGAGTTGGAAAGAGAAAGGGCACTTCTAGAGAGAGGAGTTAGAGAGAGAAAGGGCACACTGTTAGAGAGAGAAAGGCCAGAACTATATAGAGATAGAAAAGACATAGATAGCAATGGCACAGTTAGGGAGAGTTAGAGAGAGAAAGGGCAAGGTTAGAGAGTGGAGTTAGAGAGTGCAATTAGCGAGAGTTCGGAGAGGGAAAGGGCATAGAGAGAGGATTTAGAGAGAGGGCACAGTCAGAGAGAGAATGGGCAAGGTTAGAGAGAGATAGGAGTTAGAGAGAAGGGGCATGATTAGAGTGAGAAAGGAATCAGAAAGAGCATGGTTAGAGAAAGACGGGTTGGAGAGAAAAATGAGTAATGCTCAATGGGTTTAACTGTCAAATGCCATCTCAGTTTCAGCCCTGCAGTACACAAATGCACCTCTTTGGGTGAGGTCCTCTTGGTATCCTTGTAAGAGTCGTAATGAAGGCAAGCCATCTCTTTCTATAGCCACAACCTGGGTGGACTCATTCATTCTGTTGAACATCCATTTTATTAAATTTGAGTACATCTAAAAAGAGGGATAATGCCTTTGTGGCCACAGAAGTCCCAGTGCATAGGGTCTGAAAAGCTCCAATATCATTTTCCTTGAAATAAGATTTTATTTGAAGCTCCAAACCCCCCAGATCTGCATGCATTTAAATGGACGCTCCAAACCTAATAGGGTGGCAGCTTATCTGGAGTATTTTTGGAGCTCTGAATAATTGTTTTGGGAGGATATTGTTTTTGGAGCAGAGTTGGATTTTGGAGTTCTTTTTGGGTTTCTCACTCTTATCACAATGTAATGAATGACGTGAGGCAACACTGGCTATTGTTGTTTCCCTGGCAACAACAAAGCATTTTTCATAAAAGTCATTTATGAGAATTTTAGAATACACAAGGTGAATAAGTCATTGTAGAATAGCAGTTTGATGCATCATTGTATTCATGCCAGATGCCTGGTTTTGATTACCCAGCAAGTTGCACATTTCCATTTATATATATCACATTGCTTTTATTTTCTTGTTCAGAGGTATTCTTCCAGCCATTGATGTCTTCTCAGACAGTGTCTTTGTGGGGGTAAGTTTTCCAAAGACTCTCTCTCTCTCTCTCTCTCTCTCTCTCTTCTTCTTCTT